GAAAAGTGTCTACAGATTTCATCATACTGAAAATCTAGTATAGTATTATAAACTGTTGCAAGTGTTTGTCCCCAGTAACTTGCAGTTTTAAAATGGGGGTGCTTTATCACACTATAGAAAAAAAAAAGAATTACAAAGGTGAAAATCTTGGTAAATCTAAAAAGAAGAAAAGAAACACTTAAACTATTACCCCCAAAACACAATCTCTATCATAATTTGGGTATATTTCTTTCTATTGCTCTCTAGAGAAACATGTAAGCATGTATGTATTATACATCATTGCATATACCACAAGCACACACGTTATCCATATGTGTTTACCTTCTTGGGGCATCGATCATATGTTTTAAATTTATGTACTAAACCTTTTGTAGTACCTTTAAAAATTTGTGTATGTGTGCACACACATGTGCTATAATGTGCAAGTGGAGGTCAGAGGACGACCTGGGCGGTTAGGGCTCTCCTTCTACCACCTGGGTCCTGGAGATGGAACTGAGATTACCAGGTGCAGAGGCAAGTGGTTGATTTTGGCTGCTGAGCCATCTCACTGACGCAAACTTTGTGCATCTTGAAAGTGCAAATCAGGGCTGTGGATGTAGCTCAGTTTGTAGAGTAGTTGTTTGGCATGAAATAGGCCCTGGGTTCGATTCCCAGAGTCTCTCAAAAAAAAAAAAAAGGAAAAACCTACAAATTTGGCCAAGTGAACTCCAGTCATTACTAGAAAAAGCTGTAAGATGTTCCTTTACCCCCATCAGTTTGTTTTGTACCCTTCATCCTACCTTCCCTACTCCCCTATTCCAGGCTAGCCCCCCTATTCCAAGCTAGCCCCCTATTCCAGGCTAGCAACCCCTGAGCTCACTTTTGTAAACCTCAGCCCAGTTTAGCCTGTTCTGAGAGTTTGTGTTCATGGAATCATGTGTGTATTCTTTTCTCTCTGGCCTCTAACGCTCAGCAGGATGTCTCTGATGTTTATCATATGATCCTGTCAGTGCCAATAATTTCTTTAGTTTTATTGCTGGCTTATATTCCAATAGAAAAGTCCACTGGAAGTGGTTTATCTTGTCCCTGTTGATGGACATCTAGATTGTTTCTGGGTTGCAGGTGTAGCGCATAAAGATGCAATGAACATTCTGTACAAGTCTTTCTCGTGGATGTGTTGCCTTTATCTTTGGGGAATGCCCAGGAGTAATGCTGGGTTGTAGAACAGGCATGTATGCTTACTTTTAAAGGAAGCCACCAGTTTTCCAAAGTGGCTAGGCTGTCATTAAATGAAAGTTGTGGATGCCAGCATGCTTGCCATCACTTAGTAGGGCAGCTCTTTTGATTTTCGCCATTCTTGTAAGGGTGTGTTGGCTTTAATATGCATTTCCCTAATGATGGTGACCATTTTTTATAGGCAAGTGTTTTCATAACTGTAATTGTTTGCATGCTCCGCTGTTTAAATCCATTCTTTGTGTTCTTCTGTTACCCACGGTCTTCATAATCACTATATTAATGACTCCTAATAGTCTAACAAGAGAATTCTTTGCAATTTACTTAATTACCCTTCTATTAAAATTTAAATTATTTCCAATTTCTCACAATTCTAAATAGCACTAATGCTAACATTTTAGTCATAAGCTTCTCTCTATGCTTTAGATTTATGCATTTCAATGTGTTTAATATGTATATTTTCCATATTTTGGATTACTTTCTCCAAACTAATCATGGGCATGAAATGATCTTCTGTAAGCATTTTCATGGGCTGCAATGTAGTTTGGGAATAACATACACAAGGTCTTGGAGCTGTTTGCCACAGCACAAAAGAAAAAACAATTTACGTTTCATCTTTTCTTTTTTCATTTCTTCTCTTCCCCCGCCCCCATGGTCTTACTGTGTTTCTGACTGGCCTTGAACCTGCTATCCTCCTGCCTCAGCTTTCTGAGTGCACAGATTATGGGCCTATGATCCTATGCACTTCTGCCCATTTCCTTTTGATCCCTGGCTATGGGGGAAGGGTTGACCATGCTCCAGATAGTGCCCTGGTTCCATAGGTGTCACACTGTCTTGAGCCAAGTGAAAATGGGGGAAAGAGAAATTCTGAAGGCTTTGTCCCTTAAGAATGACCCACCAGCCTGGCGGTGGTGGTGCACGCCTTTAATTCCAGCACTGGGAAGTAGAGGCAGGTGGATCTCTGTGAGTTCGAGGCCAACCTGGTCTACAAGTGCTAGTTACCAGGACAGGCTCCAAAGCTACAGAGAAAACCTGTCTCAAAGAAAAGAATGACTCACCAAAGGTGACCAGCACCTCCAGAATTCCCACATCTAAAGTATCTGGTAGGAGAAAATGGAGTTCGAGGCGTATTTTCTTGCCATACACATTTCTGTTGGGGTGTGTATGAATTTGGGGGACTCCAGGAGGGATGACAGTGAGAGAGGGCACCATGAGAGGACCTGGGGTGAGAACTGGGGTCCACTGCAAAGACAGTAAGGGGATTGAATTGATCCTATCATGATGCACGTGGAAGGCTGCACAAACTCTCAGCATTGTGCTGGGTACCCAAGAGAGTGCATTCATTCTGTCCACCAGCGCAGGCCCTTCTCAACCACTCTCCAAACTTCCAATGCTTCTCAAACACTTGAGCAAGACCTCTGCCACATATGCCCAGCCCCACCTCCACATTCTTGTTTCTAGAGGGGAAGGCGAACACGGGGGAAATGTGCGGAATCCGTCATCTCCCGTGGGCAGCATGAGAAGCCTCCTCATGTGAGAGAAAAGGCCTTTGGACCAGGTTTCCAGGCCTCCCCCTGAGCATACCCACTGCAGGTTTCCTCAAGGTAACCTTGACTGAACTCCAAAGGGCAGCCGGTAGAATGCCTCTGTCTTCCCAGGGACCTCTCTCTTGCCTGCTATTCGCGGACCTTCCACGTTATTCTAGGACAGCTCACGTTTCTCTTTCTAATTGCGCCCTTCTTGGGGCTTGGGATGTAGTTCGGCACAGCATTTGTCTAGCATATGTAAATTCCTCAGCACTTACAAAAGCCTGACCATGGTAGAGCCTGAGTCAGGTGTGGTGGTCTATACCTGGAATCTGAACACTCCCAGGAGGTAGAGACAGGAAGGTCAGGAGTTCAAAGTCACCCTTTGCTATACAGTAAGTTCAAGGCCAGAGTAGATTGCACAAGATCCTCTTTTAAAAATTAAATCAAAGTAAATAAATGTGACTCTCTTAAGGTCAAACAAAATTTTGGGGTTTTTTTGTTTTTGTTTTTGGGTTTTTTTTTTTTTTGCTTGCTTTTTTGTTTGTTTGGTTTTGGTTTTTCAAGACGGGATTTCTCTGTGTAACAGTTCTGACTGTCCTGGAACTTGATTTGTAGACCAGGCTGGTCTCAAACTCACAGAAATCCCCCTGCCTCTGCCTCCCAAGTGCTGGGATTAAAGGCGTGTGCTACCACCGCATGGCCATACAGCATTTCTTATTCATATCTTAGGGTGATTTCCCCTGAGATGAGAACTCAGGGAGCAGTACTCTGGGGTTTCTTCCTAGTGGAATACTGGGCAGAGCTGGCAGAGCAGAGACGGAGGGAAGCAAGAAAGGAGTTGTGACGTCACTGCTGTGGGTACCAAGGGTTCAGTCCTGTGTGGTCCTCTGCCGTTTCCATTAAGTGTTCACCACTGGGTGAGGGTGTTCAACTGGAATGCCTGAGAGTTCGTGCCAATGGTCCCTGCCTGCTGTGGGCAGGATGGGCAGCTGGAGGAGGTTCTGGAGCAGAGCTGACGCTTGGCAGCTGGAAGTCAGACTGCCTTCTTGCTGAGGTAGAAGAGCCACGAGGTTGTGGGCAAGGTCCATAACACCAGTAGGGAGGCCGCCATCAGGGCTCAGGCTGACCAATGAACAGATCTGCAACAAAGTACAGGCTTTGCCCTCAAAGGCACCGCTCCTGTTTGCTCTCCAGAAACCTCAAAATACTGTCATCAGTCACTGGAGTATTTTGAGATCAAACCCAGCACTCCTCACTAGCCTTCAAAGTGCATTGTAGTTCCTACACCTACAGAACCAGCTCTGTCTGCCCACTTCCTAGGAATGTACATTTGAGGGTTCCACCCCAGACCTACTGACCTAAGGTGTCTCGTGTGGAATTCTCACCTGAGACCCCACTGTTCAATTCTAAAATCGATAGCTCAACTTTTCCAAAATGAAGCATTTTTAAAAGTACATGTTGTGGGGATGGAGCCCATGTGGAGGTCAGAGGACTCCTTGCAGGAATCGGTTCTCTCCTTCCATCATGTGGGTTCTGGGAATCGAACTCAGGTTATTGAGCTTGGCAACAGGCGCTGTACCCACATCAGTTGGTGAATCCATTCTGAATGCTCCCCGTGACAGAATCCCCCTAAGCACCAGCGGAAAGAGAAGACTGAGCTCTCGGGACCTGTTTCATTTCGTTCCCTTTGAAGAGCTCTTTGCTTTTTGGTCCTGCTAATTATAAAGTTTATCTAATTATTGATTACCACTCGTGGAACAAAGCCAGGGACCACGGTAGAAGTGAACCTAAACATCTGCGCTGGAATCCATGGGTGTGGGGTGGATTTGTGTGTCCATCTCCTAAACTAATATTTAAATTATTTTGTTTGTCTTGAGGCCACACCAGGTGGACAGAAAAGGGGAGCATCTAAGATATTGCAGTATGGGGGAGTGGCAACCAGAGTAAGGAATGGCAGGAAAAGACAGAAGCTGCTCTGGCATTTTAAGTGAGTCGCAGGAAGTGTGACAAGTTGGGTGTACCCATCAGTCAATTGGTGTGGACAACCTTGACAGATAGTGCAGCTGCGCTGGCCCAGGATGAGCATGCGATTGGAGCAGGAAGTGGCAGATGCGGTGTCATACCTGGTCCCACGGGCTTATCCTCGACAGTGTAGCTAGATCTCATTACTTCACCGCCCCTCCTCTTTTTCCCCGGCCCCCCCCCCCCCCCGGAAGCCACAGCAGGGCTACCTCAGTAACGTGACATCACAATGTGACCCATTCAGAGTCTTGGGACTGATTTAGCACAAAGGCCCTGGATACTTGATCACTTGTTCATGTTGTGCTTACCTGCAGTTACAGACCCACGGTGACAAGTCACCTGCGGCCCGCCTCTGCCTGAACAGGTGCATCTGTAAGTACTGACGCCTTGTCCCTAGTCCCCAGTACCAGGACACAGCCTTGGACCTTAATGCCTTAATGCCTTGGGGTCCCCTTGTCACACTAGGACAGGATGGGCCAAACTGGTAGCTAGGAGGATGCACAAATGAGCCCGAATTCATCTTGGGATGCTGACTAAGTTGTATCAGACAGACCTCCTTCTAAGCCCTTTCCTGCAGGCTAACCACCTGGAGAAGGAAGGGCTTGAACTGGCGCCGTGCTCTTAATGGATCCCTGCGGCAGAGGCTAGGTTTGCAGGTGACAAGTCCCCATCCCCCATCAAGGTCATAAGCAGCTATTGGCTGAGCACACTCGTCCGCACAGGTAGCTTTGTGCTCCCAAACTAGAGGGGGCTTGTGATGGGCGGAGAAGAAGGAGGGGGCAAGTACGGTGTCTGGTACGTGACAGACCATTCGCTTCTGTTACTGCTCTTCGTTCCTAGCTCCAATCTGAGAGGATGGTTCTTTTCACGCCCCTCACGATGAACCAAGGAGCTGAGGACTGTGCTGGGCATGCGCTTAAGGAGGGAAAGTAACCGGAAATGTATACGCGTTCCGTACGCACTGTCCCCAACAAGATCGCTCTGGAAATAGAAGTGAGAACACACAGGCGAGCCTGGCCTTCTGTCAGCGTGGCTGGGAATGGGGATACTCAACACAGTAGGGCGTTAGACCAAAAGATCTTAAAGGCCGGTTCTCGATCGCGCACGGCAGAATTCTGAATCCCGTATGCGTGAGCCCAGACAAGCCAGCCTTCCACGACAGTGGTGGAATCGGTGTTAGTTTGGCAAAACTGGAGGGACAACTGAGGATCAGTTGTATCTACCTGCTGGTCCCAAGTGGGAACATCAGCATGAACTGGCTACCCAGGCTATCCAAAGCCACAGTGCCAATACAGGGTTCATACACACTGAGCAGATGAATGAGGCAACTAGGCCTGGGCATTTGTCAACGTTCAAGGGCTTCCGTCTTTCATACAAAACTACTACCAATTAAATTGTGGTGTAGGCATAGTGGAGCATGCCTGTGAGGCCAGCACTTGAGTGATAGAGGCGAGAGGACCAGGAGTTCCGAGTCATCCTCAGTCATATAAGGGTTGCAGGACAGCCTGGGCTTCATGAGACCTTGTCACAAAAAAAAAAAAAAAAAACCCACAAACAACAACAAAAAACACGAAAAACGGTGACTGCAGCTGGCTTTGGGGACAAGAGTACCAGTGTCCCCATTTCACAGATGTGTGGTGCTTATTATATATCTGGCCCAAAGTTAAGGTACCTGTCACAAGCATTCAGGTCCTGTAAATGGCAAGGAGACAGCCCATCTCCACTTGCAGCTACCTCCTGGCCTGCACAAAGAGCATTTCCTAATCTTGTCTCTTTTTCTTCCTTTCTTTCTTTCTTTCTTTCTTTTTTTTTTTTTTTGAGTCAGAGTCTTATGTATGTCCAAACTATGTCGTGATCCCCCTGCCTCTACTTCCTAGGACTGGGACCACAGTGTACAGTGTCAGGCTGATCTTTCTTAATCTTCCCTTTGGACAAGTTTCCATTGCCTTGCCTGATTCCATAGTTTGAGCCCCTTGTAGGCTTCGTCCCTGGTGGAGTCAGCTTCCCCACAGACTGTTTCGGTGCCTGGACGTTTCCTTCAGATGGGACAAGGCAGAGCAAGTATTTCCACGCCAACAGATGTTCTGTGCTGAGGAAGAAAATATGCAAATGGAAATGAGCCTCGTCTAATTGTGGCAATTTCCCTTCTGTGTGTCGCCCTGAAATAGTAGCCATGCCCTGAGCTTTTTTTTTTCACATCAGGGCGCCCCAAATTGGTAGCTGAAAAGAGGCTGCCGCGGAGTCCATGAACAGACCTCCGGCGCCACTAATCCGGAGGAAGACTCCAGTGTGAGGCACACAGGACCACTGTTGGTGCATTTGACTGTTGGTAGACTATACTGTTCCCCACGGTTGAGCGAGAAGAGCCTTATTTAACTCAAGGAAAATGGAGCCTCTGGGAAATGCATGAAGGACCAAGCCCCATAGCATATGATCTGACCTCTTGAGCCCAAATCTGAGCTTGTCTGATGTGGCCTACAGCCAGCACTGGTCAATAGAACTCTCGTCAAATGGTTCTGTTCTTGTATGAACCAATAGCGCGGCTGCTAACCCCGGTGAAGCCATGGCGCCTTTAAAATGTGGCTAGCAGAGCTGACGACCTGCTTTTAAATGTTTAAGTTAGAGCTCATTGCCCTTCAGGGCTACAAATATCTAATGAACTGGACAGGGTAGCTCTAGCTCCCGCCCACTTCTGTGACGCCATCTCTGGCCTCCGCCCCTCCCTCTACAGCTCTCTCAGAGCTGCAGTTATTCCCGGACTGTCTACACTCTGGATTTTCATGTGTTGTTTCTCCTGCTGGTACTGCGGCTTTTTTTTCCTTCTTTCTTTTTTCCCTTTTCTTTTCTTTCTTTCTTTTTTTTTCCTTTCCTTTTTTTTTTTTTAAAGATCATCTCTTGGTCTGTCTCTTGCCACCGCTCACTGTGAGGGTTGCTGATCGGGTCTCTCCTCAGAAAGAAAGCCCTGGTGTAGCCAGCATTGTCCCCATTCCCCCATCCCCACGATAAATCAGTCATCATCCTTCTGAAATCATCATCCTGCTTTGTCTCGTTTATTGGCATCTCCGGAGAGTTTCCGATCCCCCAGAGTGTGGGTGCTGTCTTCTCACCCGCCGCCTCCTGCTGGGACAGTGCCTGCCGGGACAGTGCTCAGCCAGCATCTTATCTAAGCCAAATGGACCATCTGCAGGCGGCGGCGCAGTGCAGAGAGACGGTCAGGGCTTCCTTATCCTGGCTGGATGACCCCAGCTGAGTAACTTGGTGCTGCAAAGGCTACCGATTTTTCCCAATTCTATGGCTCAGAAACTTGGCGTTGACATTGATGAGGTCACTTGATATCCTGGTGTGACATTGGTGAGGGTCACTCACTCAGTTGCACTCAGCTCTGGCCTAAAACTGAACCAGGTGGCCCAAGAAGGCCTCACTCACGTGCGTGAGGCTTTTGGTCCCCCCAGGTAATGTTCCTCATGAGGTACTTGGGTCTCCTTACATCACCGTTTTCTCAGGGACCTCACTTTTTATGTGACAGTTAACTTCTGAGAGAGCAAGTAGAAGATGCCAGTCCATTTTCCTCACGTACACTGATCAAGCCAACCCATGGAGCAAACCTAGACAGAAAGGAAGAGGAAATTCTTTGCTTGACTGGGCAGGAAGTACATGGAAGAAGGAAAGACTCCATAATAGCACCGTGGCAGACAACCGTGGTTACTACAGCTAGGCAGATTCCCCACAGTGATCCAACCTGAGGGGGCAGGCAGTTTAAATTCACGTCTTCTTGGTCAGGGTGGAGCCTAAGACTTCATTCTCAGCCAGCCCCAAGAGAGACCATGACTGCAGGTCCCTGGGTGCTCTTAGATCACAGCCCATCAGGGCTGACTTTACACTTAGATCTGTCCCCAGTGCCACCAATGGGCATCCTTCCCGTGTGGTAGCATTACCCTCCCCTGCTAGGTCCCATGTGCTCAGTGCCTTCTCTGTCACCTGCACAGGTGCCCACACAGTGTCATGGAGTGACTACCTTTTGTGGAACTCCGTCCTCCAGGCATGATGTTCTGATGCTTCAAAGTCAGCAGCTATGGTTGTCTTCACAGGGCCCTCACAAGTTTAAGCCCCACTGACATTTCTTCTTGGAGGGGAAGAAGGACTCACAAGGCTCCAGAAAGGCAGCTCACAAGCAGGGCCGTGAGCAGTTCATGAGGCCATGCATGAGATTTTGGGGAGATGCCTCAGGGATGGGGCCTTGCCCTGACTCTCCCGGATGATGTTTAAGAAGTTACTCTTGCTGGCGGGGGCTGTGGTAGAAAGAGCGCAGTAGTGCAGCATCCTAGAAATTGTCCATGCCTTTGCAAGGTATCAGTTCAACTCATTGGGTCACTAAGGTAGTCTCTGGTGGAGTGGCTTCTTTGGTCCGTCGTTGGTACCCAACCTGTGGTAAATACATTTTTGTTCATGTCTTCTCAGGAAATGTTAAAAACACAGCCGTGCATCCCGAACACTGCCAAACATTCCTTCTTTTCTCTGACATTTGGTTCTCATCAGGCTCCCCTTGTAAAATTGTTGGGTAAGGCTCTCACAGCTACAGGATTAGAAACCAAATTCAAACTGCACACAGTCCATGACATATGACTGTTTGATGTATGAGATTTCAACCATGTTTAAACACTCCAAATTTGTGTAAGTATTTTGTCTGTGTGTATGTATGTGTACCACATGCATGCCTGGAACTCACAGAGACCAGAAGAAGGCACCAGATCCATTTGAATTGGGGTTATGGCTGGCTGTGACCACCATGTGTGTGTAGGGACCCAAACTGGAGTCCTCTGCAAAAGCAAAAAGTGCTTGTAGCTGCTGAACTATCTGCCCAGTGCTGAGAGTTAAATCTTGATGATGGCATGAAAACAACACACACTCAGTAGAAATGGCACCTGGGATTTTAAATTATGACTTTCCTAGGCTGATGACATGAGATCCAATCATCTCTTGGGATGCTGGTCCAGGGTTGTGAACCCTTGTCAGACAGCCATCTGTTTACATGTAATCATGAGATTGAGCCAGAGATTGTACAGAATTCTGCATTCAATAGTATACTTGAGATATTCTGTATTTTATAAAAAAATTTTTTTTTAGTTTGGCCCAAATATGTGCTAATGTTTGAGCGTGATTAAGGTAGACTAAGGTGTGATGTTCAGTAGGTCAGGTCACTAAATGCAATTTCAGCTTACAATGTGTTTATCAGGATGTAAACGCCTAAGTCAGGGATCATCTGTAATTTGAAAGATTAGAATTTTCTGGAAGTTATGATACAGTCCGGAAACTCCAGCTGCTTGGGAGGCTGAGACAGGAAGATCAGAAAATCAGGGCCTGCCTGGACTATA